AAAAAAAAAAACGGTAACCTGGTTGCCGAGTTCACGAAGTGAATTGGCTTGTTTTACAACGTCGTTGCCAAGCGACGAAAACCCAACCCCGACGGCAAACACCGGGGGGAGCGGCTTGTTTTACAACGTCGTTGCCAAGCGACGAAAACCCAACCCCGATGGTAAAACACCGGGGGATCGGGGGGGGGCAGAATGTTTTTTCGCGCGGAGGTGGCGCGCAACCATCAGCCGGAGGTGGGCATTTGGGGTGGGGCACAGCGATATGGCGGTGTCATCAAAGTCGCGTGGAGAGTCGCCGCGCGCATTTCATAAGCCGGGAAGGGACGATGGAGATCGGGATCGGCAGGATCGACTTGTGGACGATCGAGGGCGCGCTTCATCTTCACGATTGGAACTGGTGGAGTGGACGGGCAAGCTTGATAATTTTTTTTCTTGTGTTTTTCTTTTGTTCGACGCCAGTTTACGGGTGTCGGTGAAATCCGAATTTTTCAAGCGTCCTTGATCATGTTTCGTTTTTTTTTTTTTGTCGTTTCTTTTGACGGTAGTTTTTTTTTGGTTGCCGAATCCAGTGGTAATTCTCACGTATACGTGTTGTCGTTATACATCGTGATGTACGCTTTGCGCTTCTTGACCATTTTTTTTGTTGTGTCGAGGGCTCATATCGGTGACAGGTGTGTCGGTGATGGTAGCAAAGTGGGGGGGGATGAAAACGTGCACGTTGGTAGAATTTGCCACCATATTTGATGCGTAGTACATGAAGGTTCAATCGCAAGTTGATACATTCTTGGTTGAAGGAAGATCGAGGTTTTTTGACTGTTTGCAGATTGCCCGCCTTGTTTGAAGGAGGCTTGACGTTTTGTTTCTGAAGATGGGTTTCGTGGAAAACCGGTCGTGTTTGATTTGTTCTTCAGCAGAAACAGGATTTTTGTGGTTTTGATTTGGTGGTGGATCGCGCTTGGTTGATCCCAAAAGAGGGAGAACGTACCTGTCTGATGAAGTTTTGATGCGGAATGCAGTTAGGCAGGGAGGGCGTTGCCCGTACATGTGTGTGATACACGAATCAGTGTTGGTGCTGCACAAGGATCTTGTTTCATCATTCAAGAAAGATTTTGCCAGGAGCGTACCTCGTGGTTAGAGAGTAGAGCGTTGCTTAGAAAATCGTAATCCGCATGTTTGGTGTAAGTCGCTTTTGTTTCGATCTTGCAGTACAGCCGTTGGAATCATAGATGACATGGACGGTTCGTTTGATTTTGTTTGAGGCGTTGGACTTCGAGGGGTTTTGATCCGGCGGCCGGGTTTCCCCTTGGTTTTATTTTCTTCGTTGTGTTTCAGCTATTGTGGCATAGTTCCGACGCACGAGTGGTTTTTCGATGGTGGTGCAAAGAACCAGGGAGGGTGTTCGTACGTAGGACGCAGATAGGATATACCTGGACAGGTATGTGGCGAGACAGTTTGGTGAGAGCGCGGAGCCCCCGTTTTTCTCGTGAGTTCGGGGCACTCTCTCCTTCCGCTCTCTCTCCCTTCGTGCCTTCTCTATCGCGTGCTATTTCAACCAGTTAAACACCAGCCCCAAGTCCGCACGGCAAGTACTGTTGCCAGAGCTCACGAACAGATACTCCTTTGTTGCCGCAAGGCATCCTCTCAAAGTGTTGTTGCCAACCAAACAACCCACACGTCTCTGCGGAGGCGCACGTATCCTCAATGCTGCGACGAAACGAAGACGTTGACTCAACCATGCCCAACGATAAAAATGAAACTACCCCCCGCCCCCCCCCCGTCACGCATGCACAAAATTCGTCGATTGCACGGTAACACTTTTCCGGGAGTGCATATGGGTGTTATTCGTCGCCAAACATTTCCTTCTCGATGCCGGCCAACATTTTGCGCAGGAATCTAACTCTCGTCTGATAACCCTCTTCTTTTTCTTTCTTCTCCTCCACAATTTTTTTCAAGAATTCGGCGTGGGACTCGGGTCATTTCCTTGTGGAGGGCGAGGCCAGAAGCTTTGCTGTCGTGTTCAGCAGTCTTGCAAGCGTGTTCCTCTTTTTTTTTGGACCATTCTGATTTTTCCGATCCGCCAACCTTTCCCAGCAGTGGCCCAATATCGGCGAGTGCTGTTTTTATGGCAGCGGCGTTGTTGCTCTTGGTGTGGGTTTATCACGTCTGTTGTGGGAGTCCCCGGGTCTCTCGCCTGGTCGGGACCGGTGTGTGTATGGTCCGTGCACAACAATTTGTCCAATCACGTTTTGTGCGATAACTTTTTTTTGAAAAAACATTGGAACGTGAAACAACGATGGTCGTGACCGCCTCGTCGAGATACGTCCATAGCCGCAGAGTTTTTTTTTTTCTGGTGACATGCAACATTTTTGACCAAAATCATACACGGAGCCCCCCAGAATGCAGTATACCTCCCCTATGTAATCACGGAACCCCCCTAATCGTTCCCTGGAGGGACCCCCCCCCCCCCC